TGAAGAAGAAGAAAATAACAACAATAATAATGAGAACTAAAGAAAGAATGCAAGAAAGAAAGAAAGAAGTAACCTGTGAATGAATTCTAATCAACAGAAACTGTCGTCAACGAAAATGCAAAACAGAGACACAAAATATAAAAAGGAACCTATTCCGTGGGAAACAAATGCGAAGAAGAAAGGGAAGAAAGTGAAAATGAAACTGGTGATGCCCTTATTTTTTAGGACATTTGACATTTAGTTGAATATTTTCTTTAATTTTGTCATTTCTTCAATTAGTTATATCCATTGTCAAGATGTCTACACTAGTCACGCAAGAGTCACAAAAACAAGAAATTATATTATAGCTATTCATAATTAGAGACCCGGGCTATTGGTAGATAAGTTGGTTTCATTATACATTTGATTCTTGTGATTTTGCGGCATTCGTCGTGTACATTTCTAAGACATTTTATGTGAAGTGATTGCTATTATATAGAACATGTATTTAAAGACCCCATCTCATCTCACTTTCATATATGAATCTCCCATTATTTCTAAGGAAAAGAGCCCTGTATTCGTTCAGCCCAAAATAATTGCCGAGTCTGTTTGTTTAACTTCAAACCAATCTCTAGTCGGAAGCATTAAATTGGCAACGGCGGAACTACTCTCTTAAGTCAATTACACTTGTATTAATACACTCGTAAAGAACCCTGGATACTTATAATGCATCTCTGGTTTCTGTTGTCTTTCCATTCTCCAAGACAACTGAAATTACCGCCTCGATGTGGACTTTATCCTGAATGTAGGTTTACGATGATTAAGAGGGACAGGAGAGAATTGGAGGAAATTTGATTTCGAAGGGGTTAGAATGTCACTTTTTTCTGTCTCGTTTTCCATTTCAAGAGAAAAACTTTGAGAGACGAAGTTTTTGGTACAGAATTGAATGTTAAGTGTGTATTTCAAAAGTCAAGTTTGGTAGTTACATGCCATTGTATGCTATTTTGCATGTATCGAATGTTTTTAAGACTACTTCTGATCAAAATAAATTGATCTTAATCTATTTCATTTAATAATTGGGTTGCATTTATTCCACATCTAAATATTATAGGACATTACTCTAAAAAATGAAATAAGAATTTGATAAGTTTTATACGTCTGTTTCCATGACCACTAAACCTTCAAAATATTTTGTCCTGGTTTCGGGATGTACTTGTAGTCTACTTAAGAGGACAACCAACTCGGACGATTCAGGGACATTCCGGACCCTTGTAGGACAAGACAGTACTACCTGGACAATGAACAACAACCGTGGAACCCCCTCCCATCAACATCTATCCCCGGGCAATTACCACCCGGGTAAAATGTTCACCCATGGGTTGTGGGTATAGGATAGCAAGAAGCAAGATAACCCAGGTAGAAAATGCCCGGATGATAGGGATATAGGGGGGGGGGGGGGATAGTAAGTTTAATGCTGAGGTAATAATTGGGGATAGTAGTCCATTAGATGGGTAACTCGCCCCTATTGGAGTACAGTACACGTATTGTAAAGGTAATATACACCTCCTTTCCATTGAATATTAAATATTATAATGATATAAGTGTTCGATCATCTTTTCTTTTGAATAATTATCGTCATTTTTAGTTGGTCAATATATAAAATGTATGAATCTAAGACTTCGGATGAAATGCATACTTTTAGTATCCATGTTGGAGTCAGTGGCGTACGTAGGATTTTTTCAAGGGGGGGGGGGTTAACATTTTGAAATCGGGCCGAAAATTTCGCAACGACTCAGCCAGCCGGGGGGTGGGGGACACTTTTTTTTTGTCTCGAAATTTGAAAATTTGACATTTTTCTTCGTGGGGGGGGGGGGGGGGAGGGGGTAAGGTCACCTTTTTTAGGTCAGCCATGGATATAATTATTATTATTATTATTTTTTTTAATCAAAAGAAACTCAAAAACTCAAAGGGGGGGGGGTTTCCTAAAAAAAAAACACACATTAAAATACCAAAGGGGGGGGGGGGGTTACGCGCCTTGTTGGAGTCATATTAAGCTTCTGTCAAACGAAATCGAAGAAAACATATCGTGCAAAACGGAATTTAAAGCTTGCATGCTATTATTATCCTTAATCTATAATTATCTCATTACTTTAGATTTCGGCTCAGAATAGCATATAGTTACCGTTCGATTGTACATTTTCTTCTTTGATGAAAAGTTTTATAACAAGATAACTGGGTAAATTCCTGCGGTGTACACTTATTCGATGAATAATTTACGAACAAAGATGGTTCAGCGCCAAGCAGTAAATATAGTCATCATTCGTGGCTGTCCGTAATGATATTAGATCCAGGGTACCTATTATTTATGGCGGCAAAACTTGGATTTTATGAATTAGATTATTCCGTCACCGCCAAAGTATGACTAAATATTCTCGTTGGGTAATATATAGGAGCCTCATCGCTAAACCATGTTGGTACAAGGTGGATTTGGATTTAGCAAAACGATTTCGTTCTGATATCTGCCTGTCTGCTTCTATCTAAATACCCGCCCCCCCCCCCTCCCCTTACCCCTCCCCTCCCTCTCACACGCCCTTCCACTCTCTCTTTTTTCTCTCTCTCTCTCTCTCTATTCTTCTTCTTCTTTTTTTTTTAATCCTTCCTCTGTTTCTTTTCTCCTTCTTCTTCTTCTTCTTCTCTTCTTCTTCTTCTTCTTCTTCTTCTTCTTCTTCTTCTTCTTCTTCTTCTTCTTCTTCTTTTTCTTCTTCTTTTTCTTCTTCTCTTTCTCTCTCTGATATCGCTCTCCCTCCCTGCCCTATATCTCTATCTCTGTTTCTCCCAGGCTTTCACTGGCTCCTATTATACTGTTCAATATACGGATCAACGTTATTAAATTGCTCTGCATTTCTCTTCTTATTTGTCACGATTCAAATTCGTGGCTTTATCTTCAGGAAAGACAAACATTGGGGTTTCATTGTTACATTTAATAAGATTCACTCTCTCTTCACATATCCGTGATATCAAATATCAGTCACTTTAACTTCAACATAGTGAAATTCTTGTTTCTTTAAGATATGTTAATGATTTTGTTTCCTTATGGAATCGATGATTCGGACAAGACAGTACTAGATTTGTGTAATACATTGTCTTACAGAACAATCATTCGGAGATAATAGAGAGTTCCTATATATCAATTGTTTTTAATCAAAGTGTTTTTAAACGTATTACGTAATCTGAACATGATTTCTATTGGACTATATTGCCTTTGAGTTGATTTTTTTTCTCGGAAATAGATGCAATCGAGTTCGAGAGGTTAAAATAAAAAAATGACAGTAATTTTGTTAGATCAGTCGAACCCTGATATCAGTTTGGAAAACAAGGAAATCAGCTTTAGCGGCTCACGTATACCACGATTCACTATAATTTGAAAACTATGAGTAAAAAGGGCCCCCACAAAACCGGAAGATCTTAGGATAACTTAATAGATGGATACCCAACACGATGATTTCCAGACGAACACTTCTCTCATATTTTTTTAGCCTCGGGGGCCATCAAGGAAGAATCCCTTACAATATTTCGAATACAAAGGATATTTCTATTTTGCAAATAGATCGGGGCTGATCAAGTAGGCGTAGTGAACTCTTGAGCTACAAGAAAGTCATTGTAATCAATGACTGATCGCGGAGACAGCTGGGAGTGAAGTTTACCGGTGATGGCGCACCACCACAGCCATCCCGACGAATACGTCTGTCAGCGTAGTAGCATTTGTAGTCGGGTTTTGCGTTATGCGGACGCAGTTGTCGAGGCTTGGCCAGAAAATGAAAGGAGCACTTCATTGCCGAAAGGATTCGTCAACCGACGCACGGTAGCAAATAACGAGCTCGTGCAATCAAGAGTTGACCTTGTATTTGAGGAAGGGAATAGAAATCTATAAATTGTAGTGTTGTTGCCAATCGGTGGTTATTTCGCGTCGTCTGTCATCGTTTCGAGTTGGAAACTGCGTGTTTTATCCTCTGCACATACTTAGATATTAAAAGTGGTGTTTTTAACCAATCTGAGTCGCAAAAGTATACATTACTCCTTATTTGTGTCAACCTACTATTAGCAGGTATCATATTACCTCCCCAGAGGAACTGAAAGTACATTCAGGATATATCTGGGCGGATCTGATCCTGTTTGCATCGGTCGTGCCTCGAGTTTGCTACAGATAGCTGGATATTGAAGCAGCTTTTCGTTGAATCCGTTTGGAAAGCTCCACAACCGTGGTTCATTAACCCTAATTTGCTGTCATCCTCAACATCTTTGCTCTTGGAAACACCTGGAATTTGAAGTGACATCGAACCCTGAAGAGGATAAATCGCGGACATTGACAGCATTCTTGAAAAAAGTTGAAATATTGCGATTATTGCTGGTCCCACCAAGTCACCTTCGACGCCTCTGGTAATTCGATCTCAGATGACATTACGAAGTCTGGAAAGACATTTTGTTCAATGTATGTTTTTGTTGCTAGACTTGGATCTGTAACTCTTTAAAGGAAGTTCGCCATACCCTTCGGTGTCATAATACGTTTAAGATATTTTTCTTTGTCGTGAAGAGGAACTGACATTAAATTAAACGTGCCTTAACGAACTCGAGTGTTGAGATTAGGTGAACGATATCCTTCCTTGATTCAAAAGAGGCTGAAGCAATCAAGGAATATTAATTTGTTCATACCTCGGAATTTTTTTACGAACTGATTGACATTTTAGATGATAAGTTATGTAAAACATTGACGATTTTTGACAATGAAGTAATGGTGATCAGGTTTTTTGAGTTGAGCAACGCGACTGACGTTACGTTAATCAATGTATTAAGATTAAGTTGCCATGATCTTGAGCGTCGTATACGTCACAAAGGCTTATTGTTTTGTTCATGTCAGTCTATGAGGTCACACCAGGAAATCAGCAGGTGAGAGACATTATCTGATTACAAGATCGCAGACACTGTTTTTTGCTTTGACATCCATACATCCTATCACTTCTAAATGTATACTTAAGCTCAGTTTGAAAACGTGTTGGGGGTCAAATATCGCTCATAAACAAAGAAAAGTCACTGTTTTCGCATTATCAAGGCACAAAACATAAGACGTCATCATGAATGAAACGGACTTCGTCGTCACGGAAGCACCGTACGATTACGAGAGTCCCCTTCATTACTCGGAGAGGATCTTTCTTGCCACGGTGTCGGGTCTGATTGCCATCGTCGGACTCTTTGGAAATGGCCTCGTCATCGCCGGTGTCGCGCTCTCGAGAAAGCTCCGGACAGCGACGAACGTGTATGTCGTCAACCTCAGTGTTGCCGATATGTTCACGTGTATTCTCATGCCATTCCACGTCATCGCCGTCTTGAGCACGGAGCGGTACCCGATCGCCGACTGGACGTGTTCGATCGCCGCGGCAAGCAGCATCATCTCATCTGGATGCAGTATTTTTACCCTGGCTGCGATTGCCTTAAATCGTCTATTCCTCGTCACTCAGCCTAGTCACCGCTACCGTAGCTTCTATCGAACCCGCAACCTTGTCTTCACGACACTCCTGACCTGGATCGTACCGACAGTCTTCACTGTCTTCCCGCCCATGTTCTCCATCGGTGAGATCGGGTTCGATGAGAAGTACACCCGCTGCGGACCGAAGCACACCGACAACGCCAACGCCAGCATCTACGACATGATGCTCGCCACCATCTTCTACCCCGGTCCTCTCGTCATCATCGTCGTCTGCTACGTGAAAATCTTCGCCTACGTGCGACGTCACATGAAATCGATGTCATCAACGGAACCATCGTCGTCATCCTTCCCGCCTAAGACGCCGTCCGACGCCGTTGCGACGTCGCCGCCCATGTCGCGTACGTCGGAATCGGCGGAGAAGGGTGATAAGTATTTCCAGGACTTAAACAGGAAGCAAACCAAGCAGCATTTTAGCAGACGACAGATTGAGATCACGAGAAATTTGTTTTATGTCGTGATCGCTTTCTTCCTGTGCCTGACGCCGTACAGCGTCTCGTTGATGATACCAGGGAGTGACCACCTGGTGCCTTATGCTGGAGCTATATACCTCCTAGGGAGTTGTGTGAACCCATTCATCTATGCGACCAAACATCCGCACTTTAAAAGTAAGTCTCAATCGTAATTGAAACAATTTATTCTCCATAATTATTTTTTATTTCACGTTCGGTAGCTTCCCATTTAAATGATTAGCCTTTTTATAGGGGCCTATATGGTAAGAAAGCATGATAGACGAATACATGTTATACGAACTCAGTGCTGTGAGTGATTACGAAAAGGGAAGCGAGTGGAGAGGAGATAGAGAAAGAAGGAGGAAAATCAAATGTCTCTCTTTTACTTTTTTTTTTACTCATCATACACAATTTGTTAAAAACTACGATGATGTTTATAAAAATCATGTTTTTTTTTAACTATCGCCGGTATCCGTTTCTGTCTCAATATATCACACATTAAACCCCAAATTACTCAAACAGTAGCCTATCAATTTCAAATTACAATACCCATACCTGAATATCCTTTTATTTGTTTCCTGGAAAACCGATAGAGGAAGCTATCCACCTATTATAAAAACATAGGCCTAGGTTAAACAATATGCTTCAGAGTCATTTACTTTTAATTGAACTCTGCCCGAATTTAACCCACGAGTTTCAAGGATTTAACAGCGGAGAGGGTCTTGCTCATCATGACTTGGTGTAGGCAGATGACATGATAAGTTTAAACATTAGACCAACAAGATTGTGATAATTGAAACAATGTTTGTTTATCAAATATTATTTAGGCCTATCCCTACGATTAATATAACTAATTTATATCAAGTTGAGTTCAAATCTAATGGATGTAATATAACTATCAGGCAATGATTGAGAGGGAAACTCTTACTAAAATGATTGCAGTAAACTTTTCGAATCACGGTACACATTTTCCTAACTTTCAACGACGCTGAAACTCATATGAGTTTATCATTTTTTGTTGATCCGCCCAGATATCAACTTTGTAGAACAAAAATGGTCAAAATGTGACATTCTTTCCTTAACTTGGGTGATAAATCACTTTGAGAATGGATAATATAATGCAATTAAAGCGCGTCGGTGGTATAAAGAAAACGGTATTCTCGTATTATTTTCGGCACTTCAAAAATGTTTTCATGTCGTTTGGCAGCTCAATGACATTCCTTCTTCCATTGAGCTAGCTGGAGTGGTCTAATTCCTGAACAAGCAGCATTTCCCCAATACATGGACTGAATTAAACAATTATAATCATAATTATACCAACCTGTCACCATCAATCATGACCTCAATGCTAACCAAAAGAAGAAAGGAGAAAGAAAGAAAGATCGCTTGCCACGCTTATTAAGAATTTATGAATGAAAGCCTTGAACTGAGTGGGTATACTTTGAGGCGACCCCCGTTGTTAAAAAACCGCAACCAATCAGGGGGATAAGTTCACCCCTACCGGTTCAACCCCGAGGTGTAAACTCCTTACATGGTAATCTAATCTCGTTAAGCTAAATGACGTCTTCAAAGTACAACTAAGCACAGTCGATTACTGAATGACTTTCAAAATATATGAATATTAAGGAGATTGAGAAGATTAGTAGAAATTTCGGAGTATTTGATGGGGGTTTAAAGCGAAAAATGCAGTTTTAAATATGATTGATCGATTTGATAAGATGACTTTGATGCGTTTATGCCGGAGTTCGAAGAAAAATCAGCTGCTATAGTATTTTCAGTTTCTTTGTCATACGAGATGGAATGAATAGTTTGAAAATTGTGGAACGTACTTTCTAAAAGGAAAATGGTGAATCATTTGAATGAACCCCTCACCTTTTGTCTGCACTAAAAACTGATTATTTTTAAATAATTATTTTAGAAATCTGCAACATACATGTAGTTGTAATCCTCAACTTATTTACACAATAGCGTGTTTATGATATCCTATGAAGGATGTAACTTAAATAAGGCTTAATTTTTACAAAACAAATATAAAGCGGGCATGACACCAAAGGTGTCATAGGAATAACACAAACTGAACGAGATATTTAACCAAATTCAGCTATGAACTCTGAATTTGCTGCTCTAAACAGGTTAAACTACAACCCTAAAAAGGAGTGGTGTTGTTTTCCAGCTCCTACATTTCCTTCCCACTTACATGTACAAACAGAAAAAAAAAATACAAACAACATTAATCCCACATCCTTCCTGCCGTTAAAGCATTGTTGTCTTCTTTACAACCGTTTAAAGGTAAAGACCAGTTATGGTCATGCGATTGCATTGTGAAAGAAACGTTACGGAATCCATCAGAAAAGGTTGATCATCTAGCATCTAGCATCTGCAAGGTTCTGGAATCATCAAAATGATAAGAAATTTGGCCCATTCTTCGTAAAGTTACAAGCACTATACACAGAAAGATGTATATGGGACTACCCTATATCTCTCACAGACCATGAGAGAAACAAATTTACCAAATATATGAATTAGTAGGCGGTTTCCCAGCAAATTTGTTATCATCATGTATTAGTCAAAACATATTCTTTCACATGATTGGTAATGAGAGCTTCCATTTCATTTTTTGAAATTGGGGTGTTTCCAATACTGGTCTTTACCTTTAAAGAGACGTTCGATTTATTGTAGAGATGGGAAATATTTTGTGGGGGTTTTCACATTCTTTCTATTCCTATATGTAGAAGAAATATCACATACCTGTATACTATAGTACCAATGTTAAATGAAACGGATTGCTTCCTGAAATGCCCTATAATTTTCCAAAACATGTGTACATGTAATGTTGAATTAGGAATTATTTTGGACCGAATCATGATCCCTACATATTAGTAGTCCCATATATCTATTTTTGTGGTGTTAAAACTTTTTCACTCTATGAGATTTCTCAGCAAGATTGATTATATTTGTAATCGATGTCATAATTGCCAAACCTAATAACGCAAAGAAAACGAAATAAACACGAAAACAGATTTTTTTTTTTAAATGTCTAGTAATAAGTATCTAACTTTTCACAATAACCCCAACGGAGTTTGATTCACATGACCTGTACTAGTTTGTGTAATCTTTAATGAGAATATAACCCAACCCACTCATTCTTACTCATCGAAGATAAGAAGAATATAACCGGTCCTGGTCATGAACATAACACCGGTAGTGGTTGAGGTTATTAACACGGTTTGGAAGATAATACTACCCACAGAAATGATACATACTACGCTGGTATCGTTAAATCATTCATGGGCTCATCTTACTTTATGTTTCCATGGTTAAATCAAGGAAGGCGTTAGATGATATCAATAATCGCTTGATTCAAGAAGAATCATATGGATGTGTAAAATACTCTCGAAGCGCGTATACCCAATGTTCAAATTTATGAACAACTACCGGTAAAAAGGTATTTTGAACAATAGAATGTCAACATTAAATTATATGAAACAATTTTTGGCGCGGGAATGGGTACAAACTTGACTGATTGTTTGTGTATGATTATTGTACTAAAAATTGTGTTTATGATTTGGAAGAAAACAGAAAAATGTCTTCAGGAAGTAATGGAAATGTTTATACAAATGCATTTCTGCTAATACAATAAGATACAATATAAAGATAATCTATTTTCCATGACTGTTTATCTGCTCCAGACAGATTTTCATCGGACAATGTCCAAATCTATCAGGTTTCGAAAAGCAGTGTACCAAATGACCTGAGTTAGTACTTTAATGAATTACGCATTAATAAACATGGGTTAAAAAGGTTGTAGATAAACTTCCTACAAGATACACACAAAAGGCCTATTGTTCCTGATAGTGATACATCAATATCCGTTCTTCTTCTTCTTCTTTTTCCTTGGGGAGGGGCATTTTAAAAATCAACAGCGACTCATCATGTCCAAAAACAAACTCCATGAAGAAAGAAATGTAATGTATTATTAAAAAAAACACCAATATTTTCAAAATGTTCATTTAAAATGCAAATGATATCTTGAGTTGGCGCTCCCAACAGAAGTTCCGTTTTCGGGAATCTGTGCTTCCTTCTTTGCAATGTTTATTGTGTTATTGTTTATTGTTACATACTTCGGCAGAAGGAAATGAATGTGCTTTTAAAATTCAAATCGAATCATCTTGGAGAGACACACACTTGGGAATCTTATCACAATGCCAAGAAACCACAACATGAAAAGAGAGAACTTCGATTTCTAATTGTCTACCATGAGCTAAGGACGCCATACGGGATACCAATTAGACATCAGAGCTCGCGTGGGAAATGAGCCGGGCTCAAAGTCAAGTTGAATATTTCCCTTCTGGCTGTTTTCATTCATAACCCGGCCCTGCGTTCGAAAAATGCAGATGTTTCGTGTCATAAAATAAGATCTGTCCGCGAGTTTGGACTCGATATGTAAAATATTATTATTATATGTCGAGAACAATTGGGAAAGAAGGCTCCTTTCATCGCAGTGCTGTTTTAAACAAACAAACATATCGAGAAAAAAAGAAAAAAGGTAAAAGGTGAGAATAAAACAGGATTGGGTGTGATTTGTGACCGCCTATATGAAAGGAAAAAAACAATGAAATAAAGAAGAAAAAAGGAAAATAAAAATGGTGTCAGCAATTCCGAGGTGAACAGAAATGAGTATTGTACTATTCAGTTTGTAGATAATACATAATATAAAGAATTTACTGTGAGGCGGGCGTTTGGTAGGGAAGGAAAGGGTGTATATCACTTAATCTAAGATGTTCATGAGGAAAAGAGCATGTTAACATTTTCTTTGATTCATGAACGTCTGGGAAGAGTGGGGAAAAAATGACGTACACGTGAAAAGGTGTGCCCATCCTTCTTTTGAAAGGGATGCCTCTTTGCATCCCAGCTCGTGCATCGGCCGTGGGTGCTTCATCGCCTCAAACTTTGTCAGTGCTTCTTTTTAAAACCGCACAATGCTAGCAATGGAAACTTGCCAACCTCCCAATTTCGAATGATTCAATATTGAATTCAAAGTGTCGCAATGTCTGTGCACCCCGCAGTGGGAGTGCGTTCTACTTTTTCAAAGTTAGAGGCCTCGATCAGTGAGCCAAGAAAACGTCCTGTGAGGATGGACCCCATACACTTGAAACATTGTTACAAGGAGTTTGAGAAGTCAAGAATGCAAGCACAGTGTGAACGCACCTCAGTGCGCCAGGTCACAGAAAGTGTATGTGGGGTCAACGTCTTGTAAGGAAATTCCAATATTGGAAGACGATGCATCGGAGAAGTAGGAGGAGGCGGGTGTCGTCTGCTCCGAATATGCTTTAGTTTTTAAAAACAGGGAGGATTCACTTTGAAATCAAGACCGTGATGACCGGGGCAACTCCTTGCCCTGGTCACCATTCCCAGTAGAGTTGATGTCAGTCGTATCAAAGATGTTTACTTTTGTTTCATTTCAACAAAAGGAGAAGAGACTTAATGAATAGAAGCGGAATTTAAAAAAAGAAGTGATAAACCGCGACACCCCCACCTCTTGATTAATTAGTTCCAACACTGAAAGTAAAGACAAAAGAAAAATATTGAATTGTGGTTTAAAGATTACGGTTAGACTAATTTCCTTTAAGTGTCATTTTGCAATTTCTCTCACGGATGAACAATCAAAATCCTGTTAAAGCACAAGCAAATTTAAAGATAAAGTTGAGTTCTGGTCATGTGATTGCATTGTGAAAGAAACGGTGTGGAATCTATCAGAAAAGGTTGATCATCTAGTATATAAATATTCGTGTGCATTGCAAGGTTCTGGAATCATCAAAATGATAAGAAATTTGGCCAAATCTTGGCAAAGTTACAAGCACGTACACAGAATGATGTATATGGGACTACACGAGCACATGTGACGAAAAAAACCTACCCCTCGATTTTTACGATGTTTCATGTCATATTTAGAATATGAAGGCATTTGAAGAGCCACGCTTTTCAGGGAACATGTTTAATCTGATGTTCTTCCACCCTTGCAAAATAACAATGATAACGCTCACAAATTATTTTTTTACCCCTTCCCAGAACTCAACCTTCTCTTTAAGTATAATTGTTTTGGATAAGGATACCACTCCTTGTATCTTAAAATGAAAAAAGGAACTGCACTTCAAAATGAGCTCAACCATGATCCTCTATCCTTCTCCTTCTGTCAGACTCTATAAGCCAGACGCACAACAAATATCAATTCGGATAGCCCCTCCTTGTAGTTTGAATCAGAAAAGGAATTACACTCAATTTATAATTCTTGACCAATTAGGCAGTTTTCGGAGGTAACTCTTAGAGGTAGTCATCTCAAAGTTAGCTCAACCATGACCCTATCCATTTTCATTAGGAGGTCCATTGGTCCCTCGAGTACATCCATTGCACTCTATAGAGCCAGACAAATACCAAGTTAAAACAAATAAGAAATACGGATACCCCTCCTTGTATTTTGAATCGAAAGGGGAATTACACTTCACTTACAAGTCATGACAATAAAGTAGTTTTCGGAGGTAATTCTTAGAGGTGGTCATCTCATAATCAGCCCAACCATGACCCCTCTCCTCTTCTGTCCGGAGACCCCCTTGGTCCCTTGTGTCCATCTCTCGGACCCTATGAACCAGACGGAATTTCCTGAAGCAGAATTGTGATGGGGGTCATTTACTTTCTCCTCTGCTATGGCTACCCCCGTGTCAAAACAGCTATTTGGGTTATAGATCATTAGCAATATAGGTTAAACTTGAACGCTAGTCATGACTCATTTAAAAAACCTTTGTGGGTTAATTGACCATGTTGAGACATCAATCATGTCAACGATAATTGTTTGTTATTGACAAAGTGATGTCTAATCCATCTACATGACTGTATTAGTATGAGATCGTCAATTCCTCACAAGTGCATCGATATTTTTACGTCAATACAAAATTGCAAGACAGTCGAAGTGTTTTGTTTAATTTTTAAATAATATCTCTTTCCCCTTGTCAATGTGTAATGTAAAGGCACAGTAAAGTCCTAGTTATTTTTTGTTGTCTTTTTGTTAAAACATCTCGTCATCATGGTCATGTTTTGCGCATAAAGGCGCTACATCACTTTTCTTGCTTAACATTCATATCGACTCCTAACTCAAATTCTGTTTTCTTCCTTTTATCAGTGCCAATATAATGATAACATTTTTTTCTTTGTCTTCGTCTTTGCCATTCTTCTCGCAGATGTCCTCCGTTGCATCATCCAGTGTCGCTTTGCTGACATCGACCAACCTGCTAAATTTCTTCGCAGGATCATCTCCAACAAGCAGATGACGCACATCGTCAGCGGCAACAACCACTCCACCAAGAAGGAGCCTCTCAAATAATGGTTCGAACATCGCTTGACTGATGACATCGTTTATCTGACTGCTAAGAGAGCATTATTATGCTTGTAGGTAAGCAAAGAGATGGACCTACATTTTACAGTCCTATTTGATGGGCTTGGTAATGACTTGATACTGAGGATTAATGTGTTACCAACATGACCAAAGCCCGCTAGCGCATCGACTTGGTTTCGAACCCGTAACCTCCCAGTTACAATTCCACTGCTCGACCACTGAGCCATCAACGTGATTAAGAGAGGATAAGATAACGCAACCGGATGTACCTATATTTAAGTTCTATCCGGTTGAGTGGGTAATGTGAATCAATGCCTTACCAAAGGACACTAACGCCACACCGTGGTTTCGAACCCAGGACTTCTCGGTTACTAAACCCCTACTCTACCACTGAGTCCAGGATGCGGGGAGTTCGGTAGAGTTCTTGGGCGCTGTTGCTCTCCATCTTCAAGGATCTTCTCTGCGGTTTGGCAAGGGTCGAAACGTTTCGCAAGGTGATCTTCAAATTACAAAATGCAAAGAGGATTCCTTGATCAAATTAGCTGTAATAGCCGCGATGACGGAGTTGCGGTCGCTAGTTGAATTAAAGACTTCTTGAAGACGAATAGAAGAAGACAGCGTATCGTGAAGCACCAGATAGCTAGGCTAGATGGAATCTGCCTAATCACTGCAGACTAGGCCTGTAAAATGATAACATTTGAAGAAGCATAACTGAATGACAAGGGCCAGGTGCATTTCTGGCCTAGATAATTATGACGTGAAAAGACTCTGAGATCTCAATTCGCAACGAAGATGAAGCAAAATCAGGGAGAGGTGTTGGACAAAAATATGTAAGCATGACGGATTAACATAACTTTGATATGAATCTTCCATGCGTCAGTCAACATCGGGATTCCCTTTTAAAGCTAAACTTTGATCATTGAAAAAAGGCATGGATTGAATACTAATAGGCCCAAATTGATGAGTACGAATGCAAAGTTAATTCCTGCCGTAGACCAGGCCCGTCTGACCGTAATGCGAGAAAGATTGTCAGGGACGGCATTCAATCTTGATTATCATCTCGAACTCTATAGTCGATGATTTGAAGAGCCTCTTGGTATCAAGAACTATTTTACGATCTCAAGAGACCATTATTACCCCGGACTAATAACGGGTAGAAATCAATCGCTGGTATATTTTGCGAAGTCTTCCAGAAGAGTCTTGAACTTTTAACCGCTGACTCTAAATTGAAATGAATCTTAAAGTGACACTTCCGATTGTAGAGTCACATTAATTTTGTCGGGATGTCATATAAGACGTAATAATTACGTAATCTGGCTATGACGTAATCAGACTATTCTATGATATTCCTCTATAGCCTGCAGAATAATCATCATTAGCACATGTATATCATACACCTGTACAAAAGCACAGTTCTCTAAACTCGAAATATCAGTTCGAGAGGCGTTTTACTTGCCAGGATATCAATAGAAATAGATCGATAATTCGCATAATTTTCTGTATTTTTCATAATTTTCATAATTAAACAACCTAAAGACTCTAACTTAACAAATACTCGTTTTAAATGAAAGTCAGGTATACCATATTTTGTTGAATTTCTCACCTTAATGAATGATTGTGGGATTTCATCGTAATGGGTGTTAATTACACATGACATATATAGCTACGTTAATGATTTGTTTTTATATTTCACGTTATGGTCAATTACAAATAATGAATTTCTATTTAATATGCCTATTATTTAATTTGTATTAATATGTATCGGTGTATAATTAGTGACCACAAGCAGAGGCTGAAAGTGTCGTCTCATATAATAAAAATAATATAATTATCAAATGATTTTGTTTAAAACATTATAATGACACATTTTGTATTATAATATTATCGTATACATGAAGCTCAAGAAAAGAAATCGAAATTTACGAAAGAGGAGGTTAAAGAAGATGCTCATAAAATGTATACTACAATATGTAACTAGTCTTTATTTTTGTAGGCAAGAGATGGCTGTTGAACAATGACCTCAATGGCTCATGGTGTAAAATTTCAATAAAAGTGTATATACAATTTAATTTATAAGAAAATCAATAGAAGAAATTGACATGCTTACCATTTCACTCACTATATATTGTATTTGTAAATGCACTGTAGATAATCTTTTCTATAAATTAGATACAATTACAATCATGATCTCTGTACAATCGTGCCTTCGACATGTCTGAATGACAAATTGATCTCAGATCTCTGATCAGGTGTATTATCAGGAGGGGAGGCCATTAGTGGTACTTATCCTTACCAATAATGATTGTTACTTTTCTTCGAAATTATGTGCAGGTAGATTATAATGCCTTTTTAATGTACACCTGTACGTGTAATGAATGTGATTTTTTTTTTATGCGTGATATTTTATTCGTGTATTATAATTATGTGCATATACGTGCTTATATTGTTTGGATGTAGACGTGTATTGAGTTACGCAATAACAAAGGGCATTAACCTTATGTTGCTTCAGAATACATAACTTTCTTTTCGAAAATGTATGAAATTATTACAACCCATTAACATGATTTTTCTAACCGGCGATATTGGTTAGTATATCAAACCTTTCAATGTTTAATCGTAGATCATGCTTTAAAGTTATGAAGTAAGACTTAAAGATTGTTCTATTTTTCTGTCCTAGTATACATTTGTTCCTTGCTTCTGTGTTTTTTAAAATGTAATGTTGTGTACAAATATTCCACATTAATTGTATAATAATTATTTATGCACATAATTATCTTAGCATTACAGGAATAGGCTAGTGAGGGAAATTGTTAAAGAGAGAGAGAAAGAGAGAGAGAGAGAAAGGAAGAGAAAGAGAGAGGGAGAGAGGACGAAAGAGAGAGAGAGAGAGAGAGAGAGAGAGAAGAGACTTGGGTTGAATATAATTACATACAATGCATAGTGTGTAACCTCGTTTAATCATAGTATTTGTAGGTATGATTAAACTTTTATACTTTTTCATGAATGTGTATACATTTTCCGAAAGAAGTATTGTGTCCCACATCGTACACTTTTTGTAAACAACACATCTGAAATTAAAATGTGAACTGGACACCCAAACACAATTGTCATTGATAGTCTTCAGTCTCCATTGTGGGCCTATGTATTTGTTTAATTGATACATAAATTCGCAAGTTAATTAATTTAAATTAGATTCAAGTAACTGCGCATTGTTGAAGTTTGCGGAAACTTGTATTTTGTATGTAGTTCGGATAGACCGTAATATGGCACCGTGCATCTGGTACTTCGTCATCATTATAATCATACAAGATTATCACAGTTTAGACGCAGCTTATTCTCGACCTGTTAAAGATGAACTTGTCAATGACCTCAAGCTTTCTAGGTCAGGCGTTGCTTAAAACAAAACTCACTGATAACGAATCTGTTGGCCTTTAAAATTGATATGGCGCCTTCGTCGACAAAAAGATACAGAGGACGATCCTCGTCAGCGCCAGCTTCTATCTCTTCTTTAAAATTAAAAGCTACAGACTTGCTATGATGGAGTACATGCTGCTAATCTTTCCATGTCTGTGTACGATGATATTTTGTTGAATATTTAAGATAAAGCTGATGCTTTAATGAGATATTGTTTTGAAACAAGTTATAAAAGCTATTGAGAGGTTTGGGATATTGTCTTACTTTTGCCGAGCTTCGCGTTTACTTATTTCACTGATCCAAATGAAATTTTGCGTTGGAATAAATGATGAGGAGCAGAGGAGGGAAGGAAAGAGTATATAGAAAGGGGGTAGACAAAAAAGACAGAATAAGAGAAAGAGAGACGGAAAGAGAAAGAGAGAAGATTGAAAGCATAATTATTTCAGAAAGAAAGAGAGAGAGAGAGAGAGAGAGGGGGGGGGGGGGGGGGGGAGGGAGGAGGAGGGGAAGGATTTTCCGGTAGGTCTATAATTGGATGTCAGATAGAAACATTTAAACACAAAAGCATTTTCGACCTGTATGATCATTGTATTTTATGGTGTCATGAAATGTGTTGGTGGAGTTAACTTCCTCGTTATATACGTGGGTTGTTGACATTGTGTATAGGCTAGGCAAGTACATTAACATGAATATTGTGATATGATAAAGAGAATAACATTTTATACAGATAATAAACGAATTTTCGACACCTGTTATAGGCCTATATCTGTTGTAAATTATGATTAAGATAGGAGATGATTTCGTACTAAAAATGGGCATCGGATGACGCAATGGCTAAGAACACAACAACCAACTAATCAATCACCAGCGCAACTCATTACTCAAACATTACCAAAGCCTTGACACATTCAAGGCTTTACCAATTCCCAAGAATTGCTTTCCAAATCTACCGAAAATTACCCTCAAATTGAATTTGGTGTTGACGACAACTATATTACGTCTTCTACATAATGTGATCTAGGTCATCGAGAAAAAAAAATGGATATGAAAATCCGTCGGGACATCGGCTGACCCATGGTGTCATCGAATCTTCCTCTGTAGACCCATGTACGCTCAACGGTGTGTGTAATTGACACCCATTGTTCTTAATTACTCGCAGCAGTAAATCCCGACTAAATGGACACACTTCAGATTGAAATAATTACGACACGATGATGCATTGAAGGTCAGTGTGTTCATCGGTGATTTGCTCAGCCTTACTCATCCCCCTTCTTCCGAAACAAAATATTTTCGTCTCAAGTAAGATGTTTAATAATTTAATTTATCTTGTTTGTAACAGAAAATATTACCACACGACGGAGAATAACCATTGACAACAGACATACTTGAGACTGATGCGGAGGAGGAGGAGGAGAGGGGGGGGGGGGCTGTTAGGGCTGCGGCCCACATGACGATTTGAAACTCCTATTAGCTTCATTTCAAGGAAAGTAAAGTGGTTTCGTTTTTCTTCGTTTTCCGAAATTCCTCTCAACATTATGTACATCCTTGGTCACGAAGGCGTTGTGGGCTATCTAGCATTGGTGAGGAATGAAACAATAATTCAGGATTAAATGAATGCAGGAGCAATCGTTTAAAGACTAAAGACATGATCAATACTATCATGCATTTTTATCAAAATGTTAGAAATATAGTAACATCTTTTAATGATAGTTTATGCTTTTCAGCAATTTGGTATCGAAACTGGAAGGTTGATTTTGGGGCAAGAGACGAAAGCACCCTCCCCAGGCCAAATTGTGCCCATACGCCAATGATTTTTCACCGAGAATTTTCCAAACCATGTCGCAGCATCCTATTATAATGTTTGACGTGTAAAACAAGTTCTGAAACTAAACTTGACATTGGAGGAAATATGATAAGAAAGTTTGATCAAGGTTGGCATTTTGATTTTGATAAGAATGTTCATACGGCTGCATCATAATCTGAGACTCATTCAGTTAGATAATATAAAAGTATCTTTGCTACCGTTTTCTTGAATAAATAGTATCGCTCATGGCTACGAAATGTTGTTCGTAGTCGTGAGCGAAACTACGACTGGGGTAAATGGAAATAATATAAGTTTTATATAGGAAACAAGAATAAAACTTTACGTCATCATCTGGAGGAAACTGATATTTTGGTAGTTGTATGGCTTATACTGTTACTGTATGTCTACAAAAAAGGCGTCTAAATCACTTAACGAAATTTTGGAAAGTTTGGGTTTCAATTGCTATCTCTATCTGTCTCCCCATCTCCACCTGTCATGCTCTGTTTTTACCTCTTCACTTAGTATCACATTTTAATTCTCTACTTCTGTTTTCTGTGTTTCCTTCTTACTCAAATTCTTCATCTTGTAGTACTTACATAGTTACTAATATCCCCCTATCTTTCAGT